GACAACGAATAATGTTTAGCGACAGCGATTCAAGTTATCTTTGCGATAGCGATTTCAATTTAGCGAGAGCGATTTCAACTTTGTGAGAGCGATTGCAATTTAGCGAGAGCGATTGATGTTAATTGCGACAACGAATTTGGTTTTAGCGAGTACAACTAGATTTTAGCGAGTTTTGAAACATTCGGACGACCATATTTGGATTCTTAAATTTCCTAACTCGAAGTTTAACTCGAAGTCCAACTCGAAGTCCAACTCCAACTCGAACTCCAACTCGAACTCCAACTCGAACTCCAACTCGAACTCCAACTCGAACTTAAACTCGAACTCCATTTCGAACTCGAACTCGAATACAAACTCGATAGTTCGGGATTCCCTTGGTACAATTGGTCGTAAACAATTTTTTCAAAAACCTTCAAGACAATCGAGAAAACGGAGATTGGACGATAATTGTTGAGGTCAGATTTTATACTCTATTTTAAAAACACTGGAGTTACCCTGGCCGTTTTCCATTCTGTTGGATAAATTCCTGTGAGAAGTGACCTTGTAAATATGGCAGTAAGCGAGGGAGCAACAATACTAGCAGCCATTTTTAACAACTTACTCGGGATCATATCGAGGCCAGTGGCTTTCTTTTCATCAATTTTCCTCAATAGATTAAAGACAACATCGAGACTAGGAGTTTTTAGACAAAATGCTTTATCGGTGTACGAAAGGTAAAACTCGGGATCTACTTCTGCAGCTGGAACCTCTTGGGCTAGTACTTGCGCAAAATTTGTGAAGTGTTCATTAAAAGCTTCCGCCATGTCGCCAGGAGTGCTTATTGTTCTATTGTCAACTTAGATTTCTAAAATATTGCACGACTTACTAGTGTTAGTGAGCTTAACTCGTTGATGAGATTCCATGCTTTGCGCGGGTTGCCTTTGCTAGCTTCCAAGTTGTCAGAAAAGTTGCGTTTCTTTGCGTATTTAATTGCATTATTTGCTTGGTTTCTAGCACGTTTAAATTGCTCCCACATATCATGGTTGTTCGAAGAAATTGCTTTCTTTTTAATTAAATCTCTTCCATGCATTTTATGCAATAACCCTCTAGTATTCCACGGAGCCCGCTTTTTAATAATTCTTTTTAGTTTGCGTGGTGCGTGTTTGTCTATGCAGCTGACAAACATTTGTTTCCATTCTTGTCACATGTCATTCGGCTCAGAACGCAAATCAACAATCGACCATGGTATTTGTTCAAGATCACTCAAGAATTTCTTTTTCCGCATACCAAGTCCGAAACCCCGTTAGTATTTTTGACGAAAACCGAAAGCCAAATGCTAAAAATTGAAATCCGCGAACCGCAAGTTTTTTTAGTCACAAAAAAACCGAAAAACCGATCTAAAAATTGCCAAAACCACAAAACCGAAAATTCCGATGCTCCTCCAAACGGAGGGCAAAAGCTCGAAAAGTCAGCTTTGAAACTCTTTACGGTGGTCAATTACATAATCGACTCGTGTTGTTTTTACATCTGAGCTTTAACCAAGGTAAACAGTTACTACGGTCAAGTTAGCTAACCTTGGTACATTCGTTTAGTGTTTCTCCTGGCTCAAGTTGATGACGCCAAAATTACCTGAATACCGGGGAAGTCAAGGAAATAATTTGTCGGTCAGTCAGCTCTTGAAACACAAAGGCGCCGTTATTTAGCAAGCCTTAGTCCAGACAGGCGATAACTTACATGTATTGCTTCCGTTTTATGCAAGTGATTCCCGTCTGGCTTGCGAACTAAAGGGATTTAGCAGAAAGCGTGCTCAGCAACGCGCAGCTTCCTTGATTCCTTGTTCCGCGGAAATCAAGGTTAGCGTTGAACAGGAAAACATCAACCTACGTGATTATACAAGGTTCAAGCCGTGTCGTCCGTAAAAAGCCACAATGGATCAGATCAAGACGAGGACCATTCTGTTGGTTACTATTCTGTGGATTATGTCTTTTACAGTTTGTGTGATCGCGACAAGCTCACAAGGTAAACAAATTCAAAAATATGAAAATTTTTCATATTTGCTTTCTCTCGCGCAGTTTCGTTTCTGAAATGTCAAGCTGATTTCCTCCAGTTCAGATTACACTTGATAAGCAACCTGCCTTTTATCTCTTTCACATGTAAAATGGTCCGATGTTCCACTAAGGCCAATGTAAAACTCTGACAAATGTACGATAACAAGGAGCCCTTGTCAGCAGTAATATTAATCACGAGAGGCTTTCAACTCTATCAAAGACAGCATTTAAAGTTCAAAACACATGAAACTCTTCCAGAATATTCGAGATTTAAACTAAATAGTTGCGTGATAAGTCCGTCATTTCCTTGATCCAAGACGTTATGGCTTAAGCAGCTATACAAACCAGTGAATAACGCATGAACCTGGCTATGTTCATTTATAAAACACTACAATTGCTGATGTCCAAATATAATCCACTTTTATTAATCATCACACATTCTGTCTCCCTCGATGACTAACCTTTTTTCCGTCTTTTCCGGGCTTGAAATAATTTTGGCCTATCTAGGTCTAAGCTGATGCGGAGGAAAAGTATAAATTTATTTCCTGCTTTCAAACCGTTTTGTTTGCCCCTGTTTTTAACTACATTAAAATCATTTACTTTACGCGCCGGGCTTATCGTTTCTTTGAAAAAGGTTATCTACGGGTATTTCGCGAAAAATTGAGGGTAATGGGACTACCTTATTACGTGAAATTTTCGCGAGACGTTCATTTTGCGATTCAGAGGTGTGCATAAAAATTTCCGACATTTAAATTCTGCGATTTTGCAAAAATTTTGTATTTAAATCACTTTGATTTCGAGTTTTTCAGTAAAACACAGCAACCTTTCCTTGGCAGTGCTATGTAAAATGTATTTTAATCAAATACAACTTCATTGAAGGAACAATAACGTCGAAATCAATAAAAACGCAACAGCGGGAAAATGTCAACAGTAACAATAGGACACGCGGTTCTCACGCGTAGTTCATGCTTGCTATTTTCGCGTCATGTCATGTTCGCGACACTTGTTGTTCGCGTCACCCTAATTTCGTGATCTTCTTTTTGAAACGCGAAATTCGCCAAATAAACGTACTGCGAAAATATCATATTGAACAAATGGTAAACACCACAGCGTACACTATTGAGTTATGAATGCACGCGGGAGGTTGCTAAGCACGAAAGAAGCGTAAAAGTCGCGCGAGGCAATAGCCGAGAGCGATTCTAGCTTCTTGAGTGCTTAGTAAACCTCCCAAGTGAATCCATAACTCAATATTGTACACTGTGGCGTTTGCCATTTATTTTATAACATAATATTGATATATATTAGCAAAAGAGTTTTCTTTTATTTAAGAAATCTTACGCGACCATAAAAAACAAGCGCGCGCGGAAAACTAGTCTTTGCATTTGCCCACGTCAGGGGCGTACACCCATGGGCAAATGGTGGAAGCTGATTTGACCAATCAGAGCGCGCACCTTACTTTGGTTGTGTTATAAAATAGGGTAAGTGGAGTCGGTCTGTAAACATGCAAATGATTTGCTAACAAGAACAAGACGCCTAAAGGTGATTCTGTTGGATGCGTTTGCAAATGAGGAAGGAAATGTGCAGAGACAGTAAAATATCCGGCATGATTGGTCAGTTAGATCAGCTGAGGAAATTATTGTGAAAATCTTCAGTGTGGAAGAAACTGTGACTGTGTTTATGGTTGAAGATGGCAAAGAGTGGCAGCTCCAAAATGTTTTTCTAAAACAAATTGAAACTCGACCTACTGATTTCGCACTTCTCATCGCTTGCTTCATCTCTCCAAATAGCAACAGCTTATCAAAAACATATCCATTTCCGCTGACGACAACTGCTCCCCTTTGAGGACGTGTATTTTCAGCCGCCGTAATTTGTTTACCAAAAACGTTAACAAGGACGAAAACAGGCTGTACATACTCAAATACAACTAATAAGACTGTACTGAGTTATTTCTTCGCGATTTTTTGTTAATTATGTGAGATTACGAGACCATTCCACAATAAACCATACGCAAGGTGAGAGGTTAATCGGTAGATTTCAACACATCGTCGATCACACAAAAACGTACGCTTCCCTCGTATCAACATTACCTAAATCCATTTGTGTTAAAAGGGCTGCGAAAAAGCGATGATCTATTACAAAAATTGTGTATTTCTACGCCGAAACAACTTTGCCAAAACACAAGGATTCGATGACTCATTCAATGCAAGAGATATGCAAAATATCAAACGTTCCAATTGATTGGATTTGTCGATTTGTGCAAACGATGAAAAGAGGAACACCCGGAAAACCTTACCGTCGGACTGGCACAGGCATCTCACGGAATTACGAGTATGATTACAGCCAGAATTGGAAAATACGAAGTTATGCCACTATTGATTGATCAGCATTTTTTGCAAAATAATTATCAGAAGAAATCAGTTGACTCCAATAATGAAATGTTTTCACCTAACCTGGCACATTTTAGACATGTAAACGTTTGCTGTCGCCTTGAGGTACTCAATTGAACAATTTAGGTTTTCTGGCTACAATTTCCTATCACTGAACTATCTGACTAATAACGCTTTTTTCGCGTTAGTTTGGAACCTGTGTCAAAGTATTTATTCGTTGAGGAAGAAGTAAAAATTGAAAAAACTGAAACAGCTAATAACACAACTTGGTCCGTGTAAACTAATTGTGGCTACCTATTTCGTGTAATAACAAAGCGGTATCTATAAAAAAAACCATAGCTTATAGTGCTCTTAGAAATCTTGCTTTGTTTTTGGCGCCATTCCTTACTGAGCGCCAAAAAAATCTGTAGTATTACCTTACTCATCAATGAATTCAACAGGTTTAACAAATCAAACCGTATGGACGATAACACCAACCCGAGCATCCGCGAAACTATCAGTAGCAACACCAATATCATTTTTATCATTGCCAACGCCTCAAAAATCAAAATTTCTACAACCCCTGCCGTATGCAGCGCCATCAAGAATGCCTCCAACGTTTGGACCGCCACCTCTTTGGCCCGCAACCTCATCGCTACTGTCACTATCACTACCGCAGTCACCAACAGCATTGCATCCACTATCAACGACACCATCAGCATCACCAATCCCCAGCATCACCAATCACCAAAGCATCCCCAATTTAGCATCACCAATACCACCAGCATCACCAATTCCCTCAACAAAATCTGTAGCTGTAGTACTACCTCTTCCATCATTTACATCAACAGGTTTGACAAAAAAAACCGTATGGACGACAACAAAAACAACTGTAACCTCAATGTCTACGTCATTGACATCGCAACCACCTATTTCACAATCACCCTTGTCCACATACGCATTAGCATCCAAGCTACTGTCATCATCACTGCTAGCATCACCACCACCATCACCACCAATCCCAGCATCACGGAATCCATCTGAAGCACCCACTAGAGCTCCTACTACAGTATTGATAGGTAAGCTAATGAATTGGCAAACCAGCCATACTTGGTGTTTGCCAGATGATATTTACATATAGTTTACATCTGTGGTATAGCAGTAATGTTTGAGATCTGTGGAATAACATCCCCACTAGAGATCCGTGATAGCATTCATACTTCAGATCTACAGCTAAGCAATCATACCTTAGATTTGTGGTGGTGTAGGTAATGTATCTTCTATATCTTAGCCATATGGTATTACATCCGTAATCATGTGAAAGGATTTCAGGGTCGCTCTTTATCATATCACATATGACCTCTGCACATGATTGCTGAGATGCAATCATATCGATAACAATCTATTTTTGGTTATGTGACAATTTACATGAAATGTTCTTGAAATTACTCATACATTTATCCATTTCTGATGAGATTTGTTTCTTTCATTTATAATATGACGCAGTAGAAGGCTCCAAGAAATTCGAAGGAAGTGGCAAAGTGGAGGGACCTTGGGATGTCGAATATGGAAATAACAAATCTGCTCAGTACAGAGATCTTAACAGCAAGTTGGAAGCCCATTTAAGAGGAATCCTCGAAAAGAAATACGAACAAAATTTACTTTATCTGAAGGTGAAAAACTTCCGGGAGGGGAGCATAATTTTCGACTTTACAGTTTTCCTTACTTCTACAACGGATGTTGATGCCAACAGCCTGAAGAAGGTAATAGAGAAAGCTGAAGGGGGCTCAGCAAACCTCACTATATCCGTCGTAAGTGTAAATCAAGTGGCTGGCCCCACACCATCTACCCCGACTAAACCATCTGCAGCGTCTAAAGGTGAGATCATGAAAAAAGGAAGCCGTCCATATTTCATATTTGCCAGATTATATTCTTTCTTTGCGGTGTAACATCCACATTTCAAATTTGTGGCACACCATTTATACTTCAGATCCATGGTGCAACATCCTTAAAACAGATCCGTGGCATAACATTCACACTACAGTTCTGTGGTATATCATCAATTCTTCATATCTGTAACATAGCATCTTTACTTCAGATCTAAAATGCAAAATCTATACCTCAGAACTGTGGTGTACCGTCTACACTTAAGATCTGTAGTATAACATCTATACATCAGGTTTATGGTATATCATCCATACGTTAGATCTGTGGTATAACGTCTATACTTCAGATCTTTCGTATAACATCTGTTCTTCAGATCTGTCGTATAACATCCATTCTTCAGATCTCTGGTATATAATCTATACTTCATTTCTGTGGTCGGTATAGCATCTATTTTTCAGATCTATGGCGTAACATCTTCACTTCAGATCTGTGGTATAACATCTTCACTTCAGATCTGTGGTATAACATCTACACTTCAAATCTGTGGTATAAAATCTATACTTCAGATCTGTGGTATAACATCTATACTTCAGATGTGTGGTATGACATCTACACTTCAGATCTGTGGTATAACATCTATATTTCAAATCTGTGATTTAAAATCTATACTTCAGATCTGTGGTATGACATCTATACTTCAGATCTGTGGTTTTAACATCTTCACTTCAGATCTGTGGTATAACATCTACACTACAGATCTGTGGTTTTAAAAACTTCACGTCAGATCTGTGGTGTAACATCTACACTTCAGATCTGTTGTTTTAACATCTTCACTTCAGATCTGTGGTATAAAACCTACACTTCAGATGTGTGGTGCAACATCTAAACTTCAGATCTTTGGTATAACAACTACGCTTCTGATCTGTGGGATATCATCTATTCTTCAGATCTGTGGTTTAACATCTACTCCGACAAAACCACACACCCTATTAGTTAGTGTAAAGGGCCACGCTCAACCAGTGTGCTTTGCGCGCCGTTGTTATTGTCCGGCAACTCGATACTTTTTCTCACAAACCCATGATACTTCAAAGAATATTACAACGGCAGTAGTGTTTGTCACTATTTTTATGGCAAAAATAAAAAAAGGGTATTATCACCCAGGGCACAACCAAACTGCTTCTTCGAGAGGGTATATGTGGAACAGAACCAAAGAGAAAATAGAAATTAGGATTCAAGTTAAAATAACTTTTTTACTTACATCGAAAAATGAATATGGAGACAAACTGTCTTCCCTGACACTTCCACAACATATACTATGACGCAAACTAACTCCTCTCCACCATGGACCACTATTCTGCTACCGAAATTTTCAACACCCATATTCAACACTTAACAAGAGCAAGACTCACAGGAAACACGTGCAATTAAGTGATTCAGATAAATGGTAATGCTTTATATGCGCTTTCCACCTGGTCGCAAAAATGCAACTCTCCTTTTGGTAAAAGCCTCTCGGAGATAAAGACAAATTCAAACTTCAGCTGTTTTTTTCACGGCAATGGCTGTTCACCGCCATTATTCACTGAATGGATTCTTAGGGCCCGGCCAAACGCACGCAACACTGCAACGTAAAATCTTGCAACATCGTCGTGTGCAACGTGTTGCACACGTTTGGCCATCCCGTCGCAACATGTTGCGAAATGTTGGAACAAGTTTGAAAATGGTCAAACTTTTGTTGCGATGTTTTTGGATGTAGCAAGGTGTTGCGTGGGCTTGGCCGGCTCCTTCATAACATCTAACGACACGATCTAACAATGTTGCAAGTTGTTGCGTTGAAATGTTGGGTGCGTTGATCGGGCCTTAACTCCGCAACCTTGGGCGACTGAGAAAAAAGGGACAGAACAGAGCAAGACACTTTCAAGCTTATCCTGCTTTGCCACGGTAATGGCCGTTCACAGCCATTAATCACTGAATGGATTCTTATATCACAACATTTGGTGGCTGAGAAAATGGGAAAGAAAAGAACAAGAGAAATGAACTTCTACTTTGTTTTTTCTTTTTTTTTTTTTAGAGCATTTGTAAAATTTAGTTAATTACTTTTTATACATTAAATTAGTTTTTCCTTAATACTGTGACTGTTGTTATATGGCCTTATGACCAACCAAACTGAAGATTGAATCCACTCTTTTTGGTAAATCCTTAGTCTGTGATACGCGACTTTGTTTACACTGCGTCCAACTTAATCGGCTAATTCATAGCTAATTCTGCCACTTTTAAATCTTAGATTTCAATTCCGAACTAAATTTACTTTCCATTTGAGCTCCAAAAGGTCCATCGCGATTTGGATAGAATGGAAAGAGTTAGGAAACATTTAAAAACTCATTACGGACTTTTGCTCGAACGTACTGAACAGTTTCGTTCTGCCACGAATTGCGTGTGAATCACGGTGAATTTTGTACTTCTCGGAAAGTCTGCGCTCATTTTTCCATTCCCACACGGAGCAATTCTCTCTTCGTCCCATCATGGAAAGAAAAAAAGGTTTGCACACGTACAACTTTAATAAAATTGCGAAGCTTTCTATAGCTCGTTATCTCACACAACAACAACAAGCCATGTGGGGTTAACCAATTTCAGCGATCATTCTGACGCCAGTGAGAGCAAAGTCACGTATTAGATTTCAATCGAAAGCCTCCTTCCACCGGCATCTTTCTATCAAAAAAGTTCAGCTTCTCATAACTCCTTATCACTAATTTTTTTTGCACTTCCTTATAGTTGACGTGACACATTTGTTGGTGTCTCGGCGTTAGTGCACAATTTAAAACTAATAATTTTTATTTGTTTTATGTTTTCACTTACAACTCTTCCCACACAGACACCACCTCTCTCCTACAAAGTCCACTACTCTTGTGGAGATTTGGGAACACTTTCATCGGGGATTCCATACTTTTACACCCATAACACCACAAAGGCTACTAGATGAATTCACTACTTTGTAAAAAAAAAATCAAATAAAAACGAACGGTACACCTAATTGCTGGGTGAACTTGCGGCGTCTTCATAATCAAAGGAGCTTGACTTTCATTACCAGCTGCAGAAGACCATGAATGAGGATGAGATGAACTGAACAGCAGTCATTTTACCACCGAAAGTCAGAGCGCACACTTCGCTTACTGCTTCACCACAAATTATAACATGAAAGACGGTAGCATTGAAGGAATTTCGTACGGTAATTTCTATTGCCCCTTAGCATGTTTTAAAACACATTGGATTGACTTTAACAAAGGTCAATTCGATCAAAACTGCAGCATTTTTTGCCTTGAGCTTAAGCCATTCTAATTTGCCCAATGATGTCGGCTTTGTTTCAGCTAATTAAGGTAATCTGGGTTTTATCAACTGAGTTGATATGGTAATTTGACCACCATAAATAGTATGAAAGCTGACGTTTCGAGCATTAGCCCTTCCTCAGAGCGAAAAGAGGAATGAATTATGGATTGTATACGTGTTTATATAAAGAAATTGGAGCTACACTATTGGTGGGAACATAGTGACCAGAAAAACAAGAATAAATTATAGAATGAAAACCGCTCGTTGATACCATATGATGCTTGCAATGATTAGTGTTTAGCGACTGGTTTGGATGCGTCCTTGTCATTCCTTTCTAAGTCGCGAAAGTTTTCTCGATAGCGGTCACATGGCCGTCTTCCTGTTTCACCAATGTTTATCTTTTTAGCAGTAAGTGCAAGTTACGCAATAGATGACGTTAGCGAAGGTGCACGGGAAATATTCAGCAATCTTAACTGATCGTTTAGGTCTGGATATTTTCTCAACGTTGTGAGTGCGCGAACCAACTTTCAAATGCGCTTGCCTGTGGTTTGGCCTTGACTCAGAATACCCTTCAAGGTATTCTGCCATTCTGCTACTACTAGAACTATTACTGCCCCTGCCACTGCTACTCTGTTACTGCTACTGCTACTGCTACTGATACTGCCACTGCTACTGCCACTGCTACTGATACTGTTACTGCTACTGCCACTGCTACTGATACTGCCACTGCTACTGCCACTGCTACTGATACTGTTACTGCTACTGCCACTGCTACTCTGCTGCTGCTACTGCTTACCATACAAAGTGGATTGCCAAAAAGTAGAGGGAGTATCATCACTGCGTAAGATATTTTATGCATTCAGAACATGATCAATTTAGAAAGACACCGTATCCATAACAAAAACTTAACTCCATTTGATTTACAACAGAATGCTAAGTACACGAAGTACATTTTTAATAAAAAATAAAAAGAAACGTTAAACGTAAAGACATATTTGAACACGAATGGTAATTGTTGAGAAAGTACTTGAGTCTTTTAATTATAATTTACCGTTACCTTTTGTTGTTTCCATTTTGTAATTAACCTATTTCAATTTAATTTTTTTTGGGTTGGGTAATAAATTTTTCCCTGGGCCGGGTTGTTCAAAGCTTGGTTAACATAACACAGGGTTAGTGTGAAATATGATTTCAGATCTAAAAGCTTTGAAAGAAAATTTAGTATAATTATTTTTGCCTACGATTTGGTAATTGAATGCTCTAAATGGAATGGAATAGAAAAATGTATCCGAAGAAGGGTTTTGAACAAGGGAACAAAGAAACCCGGATTAAAATTCAACCTTGGGTTAGCGCTAACCAGCCTTCGAACAACTAAGCCCTGGAGATTCGGTAGAGTAAAAATAGCGTATGGCATGCCTAACTCAAAGCATGACACTAAAATTTTTTTTCGCGCCTTTTCTTTTTTTTTTTTTTAAAGTCTAGTACTAGACAAGTGAAAATTCCGGAAAAACTCAGAGCTCACCTCAAAGAATTAGACAACAGGAAGGCTTTTAATGGAATCCAAAAGGCATAAAATATAACTTTCCATAGATCAGAAATGAAATGCTTTTTTTCAATTTTTACTCTTGCTTATTACCAGTTTCGCACGAGAGACATCCAGCGAGATTTATCTCGAGAATTTCCAGTTAATTTTTGTTTCAGTCAAGTCGTTTTCTAACAACGACCCTTTTAAAAGTCTAACGAATTATGTTTCTGTTCTTTTTCAGTACTTGTAACGAATACAATAGTTTTCACTCGTTTTCCGCCATATTCCGATCTACTTCATTGAGAAGGCTGTCGAAATATCAGTGAGTAATTATATCGGTATGCGCTGTGGACCTCAGTTGATCTTTCAATCCCCAAGGAGATGAATAGAGAATAAGACATCAACGCGGGTTTTAGATTAACATGATACAGTTGATGATTGGGTGTAGGTTGCTCCCACTGAATATGAATGGCTTCTTTGATTTTGAGTTGGAGTGTTGTGGGAGCGTGATCTAGGATATTAAAACACTCATCAGGTCATAGATTGCGATATTGCTGGGAATTTTGTCGATATCTATAACTGTGGGAGGACCTATCACTGACCAAGTGATCCATCACTGACCTATCACTGACCAAGTGCTCACGAACACGGGGGGGATAAATGCCGAGAGATTTCTCCGACATAGCAAGCATTGAAGCAGGTACATTTACCATCTGTTAGGAATGTGTACTGCAGTCGATCGAGTAGTTTCCTTGTCCTGCTGAGGGTAGTCCCGTAAAAACTGCACTGAGGTTTCGACTTCCCAATCAGAC